TGACACTCAATCAGTCCTCTTCTTTAACTCCAGTTATGAATATCAGGAGTTCAAGGAATATTTCACCCAAAGACTGCTCATGATGTCATTACTCGGGTCTGTTCCTCACACACATCTATCGTACGACTCGGAATATCGGACATGGATTACTGATGTGAGGCTTTTTTGGTGTTTTATGTTCTTTTTAACACTCTTAAAAATAAATGATCCAAAAGGGTGTTTTTGAAGCGATGAAAAGAATGTGTGTGAAAATCTCCATGGATGTGAAATGTGCTTCATGGAACCATTGATGCCAATAAATAACCTTTAAAAGTGTATGGAAAATAATTCAATGGGGATTTATAAAGGGTTGATACTTTAAAGCCTATTTTCTAAATGCATAATAGCTAATGCAAAAAATGCTAATTATAGATATTATTTTTAAATGAACCCACCATGTTTTTATTTACTTATTAATCTTTTTCCATTTTGACCTGGTCATTTTCACTCTAAATGTCATAACTGGTCTTCCGGGCGGTGAGTATACAGGACTTCTCCAAACTCCGCCCCCACAAGCTGCAGTTCCCGCCCACACATCCCAACATCCAATCAGCAGCTGATGAACAGAACCAAGGCCACACCCCACTTCTTTTACTTCTTCAATCTTCCATTGTTTCGCTCGGATGTGTAACAAGTCCTGCTTTTGTTTCGTTGCGTTTTCCTAACGGATTTTAAATAAGAATATCAATCAATAGTTGTGGATCTATACACATATTTTCTACTTTGTGTTTTCTGTAAAACTGTTCATACAGACCGATGTGATATTATTTGAAACTATTTGTGCTTTTCTATTCTCTTAATATAATGTATTTCAGATTATCCTGCTCTTTTTATATGTAAATGTATTTTAGAAACTGGAAAAATTATCATATCATGCAAAATTTCAGTAATTCAACTTAAAAGGTGAAACTGATATATTATATAAACTCATTACATGCAAAGTGAGATATTTCAAGCCTTTATTTGTTATACTTTTAATGATTATGGCTTACAGATATGAAAACCCCAAATTCAAAATTAGAATATTGTGAAAAGGTTTATATCAGTAAGCCATAATCATCACAATTATAACACATAAAGGCTTGAAATATCTGAACTTTTGCACGATATTATAATTTTTCCAGTTTCACCTGTTGATAAAGTGATAAATACACTCTAAAAAATGCTGGGTTGTTTTAACCCAACTTTGGGTCAAATATGGACTAACCCAGCCGTTGGGTTAAATTTTTACATTACATTTTTAACCCAGCATTTAGGGTTTGTCCATATTTGACCCAAAATTGGGTTAAAACAACCCAGCATTTTTTAGAGTGTAGTAAATAGCAATGATTTCATTGCAAAATGCAACTATA